CTCTACCTCCGGCCGCTACCATCGACATAAGTGTCATCGTGACTGCCAATATAACCTGAAAAACACGAACGAGTTCAATACTGTTGCAAAATATCTACAGAGAAATACCTAGCCAGATTAGTAGAGAACAGAGAGAGCATTAGAAAATAGAATACACATTAACTGGTATAAAAGCTTCGCTATTTTCTCATTCTCTCTCTCTCTTAGATGAATATTTTGTTGTTTGCCCAAACTAAATCATCCGGTCACAGTTATCCAATTAAAACAAACACATCTTTTAGAAACCAAGAAAGCCATATTCGGTCTTACCACTTGGCGCTGAAGTATCATGCTTGCAGTGAGTTTATCTTCCTTTGTTGCAGATGGGATATTCTCCAATGTAACGCTGTCGACGTCGGCCAAGTATTTATGCTTCCTGATTTGGCCTTCAGTAAGGCACTGGAGGTGCCAACTTCTTTTGTTCTTCGGATGAAGGACCAAACTATCACTTCCGAAAATTAAGGAGATCAGATGAATCTTTATTTCTCTAAACAGCGTAACACCTTCGTCGATGATTCGGTAACAAATAAGGAACAAATTTTACAATAATATTCTCTGTGATTATAGTATAATTAGTTAACTATAACGCGCCCCTTTTTGTAGCTTTGATATTTCATCCAAGTGAACTTTTTCTTACCATTCAGGAAACACAGATATCACTCAAATGAATGGGGACTGAATACACGCAAATGTACGAACTTACGTGATATGTATATATATATTCTTTTTTTTTTTTTCTTTCTTTCTTTCTTTTATGATGTTATAATTCTATGATGTCCTTAATTTATTTGCACCTGAAGCAATACTGATGTCCAAAACATAAAGGCGAAATACTTGGAATATGTCGTTGGAGCATACACATCTACATTGCACACACACATACACACACACATCTTATTTGTGGGTGGGTGTAAATATAAGCATACATATATAAATCAATGATGTTTTTCGCTATATCTATATATAACATGTGTATGTGTGTATATATATATATATAATATATTTATATATGCACGTATATATATACATATATATTTATATTTGCATGCACACACACACACACACACACACACACACATATATATATATATATATATATATATATATATATATATATATATTAAAATTAATAAATGGATAAATGAAAATAATCGAGTTAGTATTCGAATGTTTTATCTACACACTCGCCCCTAAATGATAAGAAAAACTTCAAGAACACACTTATCATGTGGAGCTATTCATTCGTATCCATGCATTTTCTACATTCGTTCAAATGAACACTGTCTAACAGTAATCGTAAAAACAGAATAAATATGTATATATTGAGCTTACGTTTTTTTGTTTTCCTGTAGATATATCAATCTTTTGTTTCTTTTTGTTTTGTTTTTAAATATAGGTTTTTCTCGCTTTCACCCTTCCTTTCTATTTTATTATACCTCTTTGTATAGTTTTCCCTTCTACTTATTTCTTGTCCCTAATTATGACTCTTTAAGCGTCTCAGTGGATGTTAATTAGGGTCAGTCATCTTTCGGTTTTCTTTTGTTATGGGGCATCGGTTTATAAAATTACCTTATCTTCCTTTATTTGGGCTTCATAACTTGCACCAGAGTATCTTACTACTCTGTGGCTGGTTTTGATTATCAACTTACTCTTTAGGCACATGAAATTATCGGTCTGGATGAAATTCTCTTGTTAGAGAAAAAAGACAAATAGATAAATAAATGAGTTAATGAATAATAAAAAAAAAAAAAAAAAAAAAAAAAAAAAAAAAACAGGTTTCACTTCATTTTACTTTAATGCTTCTAGGAGTAAGTGTTTACTTTCCCGCTTTATCCTCCATATCCACTGGTGCCTCCACTTCCGCTTCCAAATCCGCCTCTGTTTCCTCCTTGACTACCCCCAAATTGCTTGCACTTCCTTCACTAAACCCTCCTCCGCAGCCGTCTCTTTGTTTAGTTTTTTTTTTTTTTTTTTTTTTTTATCCTTCTTGTCTCTATTCGGGAAACTTTAGGCGTCTAGGTGGAAATTATGGTCAGTCTTTCGCTTTCCTTTTGTTAGTGAGCTGTAGGTTTAATAATTAATTCTGTATTTTTCTCTATTTGGGCTTTTTACCTTAACTCAGGCTTTCTGAATAGTATTTGGGGAGCTTTCTTATCAGCTTACTATTTTGGGACATAAAAGTATTTTCTGGATGAAATTCCGATATTAGAGGAAGAAACAGGTTTCAGTTCATTTTATTTTATTGCATCTAGGAGTAAGTTTTTGCTTTTACGCTTTATCCTCCGTATCCGCTGCTGCCTCCGCTTCCGCCTCCAAATCCGCCTCCGCTTCCACCTCCATGACTACCCCCAAAACCGCCTCCACTTCCTCCACCGAAACCGCCTCCGCTTCCACCTCCGTAGCCACCGCCGCCGCCGCTGCCTCCTCCGGAGAGAGTTCCACTGCCAACCAGAATTCCAGAAACTACACTGCCACCGCCACTTCCTCCACCGCTGCCTCCGCCGTATCCACCGCCGCCGCCGCCGCCGCTACTACCGCCAAATCCACCTCCGAATCCACCGCCTCCGTGTCCTCCACCTCCACTACCTCCGCCAAATCCACCACCTCCACCGCCTCCTCCACCGCTGCTACCATATCGACCTCTACCTCCGGCCGCTACCATCGACATAAGTATCATCGTGACTGCCAATATAACCTGAAAAACACGAACGAGTTCAATACTGTTGCAAAATATCTACAGAGAAACACCTAGCCAGATTAGTAGAGAACAGAGAGAGCATTAGAAAATATAATACACATTAAATGGTATAAAAGCTTCGCTATTTTCTCATTCTCTCTCTCTCTTAGAGGAGTATTTTGTTTTCCCAAACTAAATCATCCGGTCACAGTTATCCAATTAAAACAAACACATCTTTTAGAAACCAAGAAAGCCATATTCGGTCTTACCACTTGGCGCTGAAGTATCATGCTTGCAGTGAGTTTATCTTCCTTTGTTGCAGATGGGATATTCTCAAATGTAACGCTGTCGACGTCGGCCAAGTATTTATGCTTCCTGATCTGGCCTTCAGTAAGGCACTGGAGGTGCCAACTTCTTTTGTTCTTTGGATGAATGAGCAAACTATCACTTAAATTAAGGAGATCAGATGAATCTTTATTTCTCTAAACAGCTTTTATTACGTCGTAACACCTTCGTCGATGATTCGGTAACAAATAAGATACAAATTTTACAATGATAATTCGTTGACTATAACGCATCCCTTTTTGTAGTTCTTGTATTTCATCCAAGCGAACTTTTTCTTATTATTCAGGAAACACATAGATATCACTGTAATGAATGGGGACTGAATACACGCAAATGTACGAACTTAAGTGATACGTATGTAATATATACTTTTTTTACAACTGCACAATAATTATGTTATAATTCTATAATGTCCTTAATTGATTTGCACCTGAAGCAATACAGATGACCGGAACAGAAAGGCGAAATACTTGAAATATGTTGTTGGAGAATACACATATACATTGCACTCACACATACACACACAACACACGCGCACACACACACGCACGCACACACATCTTATTTGTGTGTGTGTGTGTATTTATATATGCACGTATATATATACATATACATTCATATTTGCATGCACATATATATATGCATATATATATATATATGTATATATATATATATACATATATATATATATATATATATATATATATATATATATATATATATACTTAAAATGAGTAAATAGATAAATGAAAATAATAGAGTCACTATTCGAATGTTTTAGCTTCACACTCGCCCCTAAATGATAAGAAAAACTTCAAGAACACACTTATCATGTGGAGCTATTTATTCTTATTCATGCATTTTCTACATTCGTTCAAACGAACACTGTTTAGCAGTAATCGTAAAAACATTAGAATAAATATGTACATATTGAGTTGGCTATGACTCATCTACGAGAAGCATTTATTTCTCTTTATTTACTTTTTTAGATTACTTTTTGCTTACGCTTCTTTGATTTGCTCTCGGTATATCAATCTTTTGTTTCTATTGTTTTTAAATAGGTTAAATAGGTTTTTCTCGCTTTCACCTGTTCTCTCTCTTTTATTATACTTCTTTGTATATTTTCCCTTCTTCTTATTTCTTGTCCCTAATTATGATTCTTTAAGCGCCTCAGTGGATGTTAATTAGGGTCAGTCATCTTTCGCTTTTCTTTTTGTTATGGGGTATCGGTTTATAAAATTCCCTTATCTTGCTTTATTTGGGCTTTATAACTTACACCAGAGTATCTTATTACTCTGTGGCTGGTTTTGGTAATCAACTTACTCTTTAGGCATATGAAATTATCGGTCTGGATGAAATTCTCTCGTTAGAGAAATAAGATAAATACATAAATAAATGAATTAATGAATAATAATAATAATCATAAAAACAGGTTTCAGTTCATTTTAATTTAATGCTTCTAGGAGTAAATGTTTACTTCCCCGCTTTATCCTCCATATCCACTGGTGCCTCCACTTCCGCTTCCAAATCCGCCTCTGTTTCCTCCTCCTTGACTACCCCACAAATTGCCTGCACTTCCTTCACTAAACCCTCCTCCGCTTCCACCTCCGTAGCCGTCTCTTTGTTTATATATATATATATTTTTTATCCTTCTCGTTCCTTCTTGTCTCTCTATTCGTAAATCCTTAGGTGTGGAAATTGTGATCAATCTTTCGCTTTCATTTTGTTAGCGAGCTGTAGGTTTATTAATTCTGTATTTTTCTCTATTTGGGCTTATTATCTTAACTCGCGCTTTCTGAATAGTATTTGGGGAGCTTTGATTATCAACTTACTATTTTGGGACATAAAAAGTATTTTCTGGATGAAATTCCGATGTTAGAAGAAGAATCAGGTTTCAGTTCATTTTATTTTATTGCATCTAGGTCTTTGCTTTTCAGCTTTATCCTCCGTATCCGCTGCTGCCTCCGCTTCCGCCTCCAAATCCACCTCCGCTTCCACCTCCATGACTACCCCCAAAACCGCCTCCACTTCCTCCACTAAAAGCCCCTCCGCTTCCACCTCCGTAGCCGCCGCTGCTTCCTCCTCCGCTGCCTCCGCCGTATCCACCGCCGCCTCCGCCGCCGTTACTACCGCCAAATCCACCGCCTCCGTGTCCTCCACCACCACTACCTCCGCCAAATCCACCACCTCTACCTCCTCCACCGCCGCCACCATATCGGCCTCTACCTCCCGCCGCTGCCATCGACACAAGGGCCACTGTGACTGCCAATATCACCTGGAAACCACGGACGAATTAAATACTGTTACAACATTTGTACAGACAGCCAAATTAGTAGAGAAATGAGTTTTAGAAAATACAAAGCACATAACAGCTTTGCTTTGTTTTCTTAAATAAAGAACTTATAAAACAATTGCAGTTTCCCCATACTATAACATCATTCGCTCTTAGTTTATCCAACGTAGAACAAACACTTCTTTTAGCAACAAAAAAAGTAATTCGTGTCTCACCACTGGACGTTGAAGTATCATAGTTGCAGTGAGTTTATCTTCCTCTGTTGCAGAAGAGATATTCTCAAGTGTGGCACTGTCGACGTCGGCAAAGTATTTATGCTTCATGGTTTGGCCTTCGGGAAGGCACTAGAGGTGCCAGCTTCTTTCGTTATATAATCTCTCCGTAAAAGAATGATCAATCATTTCCGAAAGATTGGATAAAAATTATTTTCAAGAAAACGACTTTTATTACGTCGTAAACCTCGATGATTAGGTGACATACTTTTTGTTTATATGATCATAATTGATGTTAACGCCTCCTTTTTTTGTAATTCCTGCATTACACATCTTAAAATTATTTTTCAGGAAGCACTTATGTAGTAACGCAACGTGTTTATATTTGTATGTATTTTTCTATATATGTACGTTTGTTTGTGTGTTATTCAAAGAAACAAAAGAAAATGTTTTCAAACCAGCACAATAATAACTTTGCTTTAGTCATATGAAATCCTTACTTCTTTTATATGTACCTTAAGCAATATTGATGACCAAGACATCATTAGGGCGAAACACTTGTCGGTGGAACATACACATATACATAGCACACATATGCACACACACAGACAACGCATACACACAGACAACCAACTTATTTTTGTGTAAATATAATACACACACACACACACACATATATATATATACACATATATACATATATGAATATATAAAAATATATATACATATATATATATATATATATATATATATATATATATATATATATATATTACATTCCTTGCATTGAACACTGTTTAACACTAATCATAACAGTATTAGAAAAAAAATATATTGTAAGATCGGTAAATAAAGGCACGGTGTTTGTCTGCTACCATCTGTGAGAACCATTTTCCTTTTTTCTTAGAAAACTTTTAAATTACATATATTTGCTTTGTAATCGGTAAATCAAATGTGTGTGATACATATAGTTTTTTTTCATCCTTTCTTTTTTATTTTCCTTTTATTTTTTGCGTCTTTTTTTTTATAGACTTTCTCTCTACTTCCTTCACATCTCCACTCGTGAATCTTTAATTAAACGTCTCAATAGAAACTAGCTTTTTCTTTTTATGTTGAAGTTTAGGTTTATTAATGATTTTGCATAATTTGGCTTTATTTTGCCTTCATACCTTGAATCAGAGTATGGCTAACTTTAATTATGAATTTACACTGGAACTTAAAATGTATTTTTGCTCTGGACGAAATTCACTTGTTAGAAAAAGTAGGTTTCACAATTCATTTTACTTTAATGCATCTAGGAGTGAGTCTTTGCTTTTCCGCCTTATCCTCCGTATCCGCTGCTGCCTCCGCTCCCGCCTCCAAATCCGCCGCCGCTTCCACCTTCATGACTACCCCCAAAACCGCCTCCACTTCCTCCACTAAAACCGCCTCCGCTTCCACCTCCGTAGCCACTGCCAACAAGAATTCCAGAAACTACACTTCCACCGCCGTTTCCTCCTTCGTTGTTTCCGCCATATCCATCGCCGCCGCCGCTACTACCACCAAATCCACCTCCTCCGAATCCACCACCTTCGTGTCCTTCACCTCCACTACTTCCACCAAATTCACCTCCTACACTACCGCCTCCTCTACTGCCGCTACCATCGACATAAGTGTCATCGTGACTGACAATATAACAAACGAGTTGAATATTGTTACAAAATATCTACAGAAAAAAACTACCTAGAAATAAACAGAGATTATTTGAAAATATGATACACGTTTACTGGTATCAAAGCTTCGCAGTTTTCCTATTCTCTCTCTCTCTCTCTATTAGACAAATAGCTTGCTATTTTCCCATACTACAGCCTTCCTTCTCAGCTACCCAACGTAGAACAAACATCTTTAAGGAACCAAGAAAGTCATATTCGTGTTTCACCACTGGACGCTGGAGTATAATGGTTGCAGTGAGCTATCTCCTGTTGCAGAAGAGATATTCTTAAGTAAGCTTCTTTCGTTGCAGGACCTTTGGATGAAAAGGCGTAGTATCACATCCGGAAGTTAAGATTTGATGAATTTTTATTTCTCTAAAACAACTTTTGTTACGTCATAACACCTTCGTCGATGATTCGGTGACAATTAAGGAGCAAATAGAATAAGTTTCTCTGTGATTATAATATAATTAGATGATTTTAATGCTTCTACTTTTATACCATCCAACTATTTCTTTTCTCTCAGGAAGTTCATAGATATCACTGTAAGGAATGAGGATTGAAAACACACAGATATACTAACTTAGGTGACATGTGTATATAGATGTGTAAAGCAAATGCAGTAAAAAAAAAAAAAAATGTTTCAAAAGTGCACAATGATTATGTTTTAATTATATGAATTCCTTCATTTATTTACATCTTAAGAATATTGATGACCAAAACATCGTAAAGGCGAAACACTTGGAATATGTTGGAGCATGAACATATACATTGCACACACACGCACGCATATTATTTGTGTGTGTGCGTGTGTAAATATGCGGATACATACATATATATATATATATATATATATATATATATATATATATATATATATATATATATTACATATACGTATAATATATATATAATATATATATATATATATATATATATATATGTATATATATATATATATATATATATTATTACATATATATATAATATATATGCATATATATATATATATATATATATATATATATATATATATATATATATATATTCATTCTTCTTCATACATTTTCTACATTCGTTGCAATGTTTAAAACTAATCAAAACAATATCAAAATATGTATATATATTGATACCAAATCAGCAAATAGCTGAGCGAGTTGAAGTTAATTATTACTCACCTATGAGAAGCATTTAATTATCTTTACTTTCTTACAATACATTTTGCTTACGAATTTTTGTTTGCTGTTGGTATATCAATCGTTTGTTTCTATTGTTTTTAAATATAGTTTTTCCCTGCTTTTTCTCTTTTAATCTTTCTTTCTCTTTTATTTTACTTCTTTGTATAGCTATTCTTTCTTCTTCTTTCTCAGTGGATGTTAATTAGTGTCATGATGAAGTATCGTATCATAAATTTATTTATTTTTTACTTTATTTGAGCTTTATACTTTACACTAGAGTATCTGATTAATCTGCGGCTAGTTTTCATTATAAACTTATAAGCTCCGGATGAAATTCGCTTCCTGGAATAACAGACTTCAGTTCATTTTACTTTAATGCAACTGGTAGTAAGTCTTTGCTTTTCCGCTCTATCCTCCGTATCCGCTGCTGCCTCTGCTTCCGCCTCCAAATCCACCTCCGCTTCCACCTCCATGACTACCCCCAAAACTAACTCCACTCCCCCCACTAGAACTCCTTCTGCTTCCACCTCCGTAGCCACCGCCGCCGCCGCCTCCACCCGAGAGAGTTCCACTGCGAACATGAATTACAGAAACTACACTACCACCGCCGCTTCCTCCTCTGTTGCCTCCTCCGTATCCACCGCCACCACCGCTACTACCGCCAAATCCACCTCCTCCGAATCCGCCGCCTCCATGGCCTCCACTACCACTTCCTCCACCACCGCCCCTATATCGGCCTCCACCTCCTGCCACTGCCATCGACATAAGGGCTATTATAGCCGCCAATATAACCTGAAAAGTGCGGGTGACTTTAGAGACGAGCTAATTACATTGCAATGTCATTTTTATATATGTAGCCTTATATAACTCTATGTAATTACAGATTGATACGACGTAAATAAATTGA